TTCAAACCCAGCCCTGGCCAAAAACTGCAAAAAAAAAAAAAAAAGAAATAGTTGTTAGGGCAGTGCCCGTAGCTCAGTCGGCAGGGTGCCAGCCACATACACCAAGGGTGGCGGGTTTAAACCCAGCCCAAGCCTGCTAAACAACAATGACCAACTGCAACCAAAAACTAGGTGGGAATTGTGGTGGGCACCTGTAGTCCTAGCTACATGGGAGGCTGAGGGAGGAGAATCGCCTAAGCCTAAGAGTTTGAGGTTGCTGAGAGCTGTGATGCCACGGCACTCTACCCAGGGTGACAGCTTGAGACTCTGTGTCAAAAAAAATAAAAGAAATAGTTGTTAGGTCAGACATGGTGACTCACATCCATAATTCCAGCACTTTGGGAGGCTAAACCCGGAGGATCACTTGAGGCCAGGAGTTTGAAACCAGCCTGAGAAATATAGCTAGAGCTTATCTCTATAAAAAAATTAAAAATTAGCTAGGTGTGGTAGTACATGCCTATAGTGCTAGATACTCTGGAAGCTGAGGCAGTGAACTGCTTGAGCCCAGGACTTTAAGACTGTAGTGATCTATGATCATGCCACTATACTCCAAACTGGGGAACAAAGCAAAACCTTATCTCTTTTAAAAGAAAGAACTGATCTATACTGAAAATACTATACTTGGACTCTATTCTGATTTTTGCTATAGACAAATCATCCTTGCCTAAGTTTCTTTTCTACCTCTTCCTTTCTTCCAGTAGTAACATGCATTCTGTTAAACAATCTACCTTGGTATTGGATCAAACTATACAAATAGACAAGATTACTCCTATAAACATTAGTTTATATGAATAGGAAGATGGCTACTCAACATGGTACAATATTTGGTTACTTAAAGAAAGAAAAAAAGAAAGAAAATCTCATATTTAAGGGCAATTCTAGGTTCCTCCGTTCCAATAGATAAGTTACAATTTATTTTTCTTGTTAACTAAGACTTCACCAATCTCCCAGTCTTGTACCTGCAATGCATTGACAACTCGAATTGGATGCTCCTCTCCTAGAGCCTGGATGCAGTGTTGAAATAAGCAATTAATATTGTCCTTGATCTTCATTAACTCCTCACCATCAAGAGACTCCAACTTCCCTTCTAGATACTCTAAATTCACCTGCCAAAGAAAGAATAAGAGGTTCAGTGCATTTTAGTATAGCACTTAGAACACATGAGAAGGCCATCTTAGTTACCAGGAAAATCCACAAATGCAATCAAGTCTTACCTTCATGAGAAAAAGCTCCTCCCAAAACCGAGGACTACACTTACTGGGGTCTTCTGTCTGAAACCAGAACATAAACATATTCTCAACCTTCCCAGCTAATATCAAAAGGGTTAAGAATACTACACACACTGGATAGCTGGGGAAAGAAAAAATACTACACACACGCTAGATGCAGTACCTTATGCCTATAATCCTAGTAATCTGGGAGGCCAAGGTGGGAGAATCACTTGAAGTCAGGAGTTCAAGACCAGCCTAAATGAGAGGCAGACCCCATCTCTACTATAAATAGAAAAAATTAGGCCAAGTACAGTGGCCTAACCTGTAATCCTAATACTCTAGGAGGCCAAGGCACATAGATTGCTTGAGCTCAGAGTTCCAGACCAGCCTGAGCAAGAGTAATATCCGATCTCTACTAAAAACAGAAAAACTAGCCGGGGATCATGGCAGATACCTGTAGTCTCAGCTACTCGGAGTCTGAGGCAGGAAGATATCATCAGCCCAAGAGTTTGAGGTCGCTGTGAGCTGTCATGACATCATGGCACTCTATCCAGGGCAATAAAGATTGTCTCAAAAAAAAAAAAAAATTAGCTGGGCAGTAGTATGCACTTATAATCCCAGCTGCTAGGGAGGGTGAGGCAGGAGGATCACTTGAGTTCAGGAAGCCCAGAAGTTCAAGGTTGCAGTGAGCTATCATGCACGATACCACTGTACTTTAGCAGGGGTAACAAACCAAGACCCTGTCTCAAAGAAAAAAAAGGGGGGGAGCCAGCTGCAGTGGCTCACACCTATAATCCTAGCACTCTGGGAGGCCAAGGCAGGTAGATTTCCTGAACTCACAGGTTCAAGACCAGCCTCAGCCAGAGTGAGACCTCATCTCTAAAAAAATAGCTGA